ACAATTTTAGCTTTACTTGAACAGTTGGGTGTTTCCAATACTCGATCAACTGGCAGAATTGAGCTTCTGGAATGTCATCAGGACGTTTCGCTAGCATATCCTCAATAGCACTATTTTTATCAAAACATCGCTCGTTAATTTTTTATTTGTGTCGCCTCCAAGCATCACGAAGACCAATCATCACCCACTTCTTTCCTTCTACTAGAATTAGGAATTTGGACTATGCAAAATAAAATATATTTATCTTCATTAGTAAAGAAAAAACAATAAAAAATGCAATCTGAAAATTGATTGTTCTTACATTGATATATTCCCATATTCGCTTTTTAATATCTTTTGGCACCGCATGCCAACTAGTGTACATCATGTTGATTAATCTAGGATTTCTTGCAATTGTTTCGATAAAATTGATTAATTCCGACACTATCTTATCGATTGGTCCCACTGCTTGTCCTTTATCAAATGTCACCTCCTCCCTTTCTTCCAAATTTCTTGCATGAATATTCTTACATGTTGTTTTTCCTTGAACTTATCCCTAGATTGATGTAACAACTAGGAAATAAGAAATTTCTTTTATAATGAGTAATAAATCTTACAAGATTTAAGACATACCTTTTGTACTACAATCAATGTCAACTTCCTCGTCTATATCACACTCATCCTTGCCGATTTCTTCTTGATCCTCAAGAGCATCCAAACATTTATTATGTTCATGAATAGAAGGAGCAGGCATATACTCGACATCAGCTACTGTGTGGTTAATCTTTTTTCTTTCATCACCTATGACTATCCCTTGTTGCTTCTGAAACTGATCAAGACTAGTAGCTGGTATGAGTGACTTCTTCTTAACCCATTTCTTGTTTGATAGATCATGATCAATATCATGTTCTTTGTGTATCTCTTGTTTTTTCAGAAACTAATCAACACTAGTGGCTGGTAGGACTAACTTATTCTTCACCTGTTTGAAGCTTAGTAGATCCTGATTATCATGTTGTTCCTCTCCATTACCTAGTGTTGTTCCAATCACATTTACAGAAGAAGTAACACCTTCCTTGGACGACGTTTGGAACCTAAAGTTGTGCATAGGAGGTTTAAATCCTTTCTCTTGAATGGACTCTCCAGATTGAAATAACCTCAGTTTATTTTGTCCTTTCCCTACAATCATATGTGAAGTACTAAGTTCTTCCCTAGAAGATGATTGAATCAATGATTTGTGGCCAACCAATTTACTTTTTCCTTGTTGTGGAATGAAATCCTCAGAATTCTTTCTTTTAAGTGCTATTGGTATATGCTCTTTCTTAGCTTTATTATTGTGTTCGTTTGCAACATGTTCTCTCTTAATCTTAAATGTGTTGACCAATTTAGCACTTGAGCGGTATTGCATATCAACATCCAGATTCTTCAATGGACTTTGAGCTTTGTTTGGATTTGAACCCTTTTTCTTTAGTATTGCTGATTGATTCATTCTTTTCACTTTGTTTTAATCTCTTTGATTTATTTTCTTGTAGTAACTTAACCTACAAAATAATAATCAGAAAAATTAACTGGCCAGAATTTTCTATGTGAAGGCAGTAATAGAAGAGCTGAACTCTTACCAGAATTTCCAGCACTGTATTATGGTAGATTGCAGCAGCTGAGTTTAGTGCAAGCTATAACCTACTATATGTACTGTAAAATGATTATATAACATGTACACTAATAGGAGAATAAGAAATGTTAAAATGCAGAGCATTCAGTCACAAAGATGCTAGTGAAGAGTGTTCTGTTTCAAATACAAACATATTGGTCCCAAATGTTCCTGTTCCCAAAGAAGATCATTACTATGGTTACAACAGTGAGTAGAACTTTTTCATGGAAGAGAGCAATGACTGTAAGCCCAAGACAGCAGGGGGTCTGAATGTGATTGATATACCTACATGGAACAAGGCAGCAAGGGGTCTGAATGTGATTGATATACCTGCTGATTATTGAGGAAATTTTTCATGCCAGGAGTTGGTTATTGTAGTACCTTACATAATAAGCTACAAGTACTTATTGACTTAAAGGAGTATAATATCAGGAAGGGGTATCTTCCAGTGATGCCACAACACCCTAAAGTCATATGGAGTAAATTGTTGTTAGTTCAAGGTAAGATCCCAAGGCAGCAATTAATTCTATGGTTGGCTTTACATAGAAAACTGTCAATAGTGGATAGAGTGCAGAAATGGAGAAATGATAGGTTGTGAGTCATTCATTTGCTTATTTACAAACATCAACAAAAATGTTTAAGACACAACTAGAATTTAAATATATATTATTGACAAGTAGCTTGAACATAGAACATTGATTGCAGCCCCATGTTTCTAGCCTAGATGCATATGCTTAATTTAACTTGCATCCCGAACTAGTTTTTCCTCAATACATACAGGACAAACATTTTTCATCACACTGTAACCATTGCTAAGGTCTCATCTATGATGAAATTAGTAAGCAAGTAGTATTAGTGATATATTTGATAGTAATTGATACCTCATTCGTCTCCGAGTCAGTAGCAATGTAACCTTCAAATACAGATAAGCCAACAAAGTTCTGAAATGCAAGAATACTTTTATCAGAACCAAAGGACATTCAACCATAAATAATGTTCTATCTTATTCTATTGTCTTTATCCCACGCCAATCACTCAATAATAAGCCACTGCAATTTAGTAGCACCATACACACCTCCTCTCACTCTTAGCACCAAAAAGAGAGGCCAACAAGAAAAAACAATAACCAATACAACATCTTTTCCAGGTTAATACCAATAACAAGAGAGAATTAACTTGACAACACCAAGTAGTTTGATAACTGTACCAGAAATACTACAGAGCTCCCTGTTCTGCCTCTAATGTCCACTACCTGATAATAACAGGAAACAAATAAGTATATAAATAACAACAACAATTCATATTTATATGTCATAAATTAGGTTGATAACTGTACCAATAATAGTGTAGAGATTACTAACAAATAAAACAATAGTAAGCTAGAAGTACAGATTCCTCAAAATAATAAGCAGATAAGAAGCCAACATAAATTACTTAACCAAACAACAATTGGGCGCGTGAAAAAAGCCAATAGAATACTTAAAGATTGTAGCGATCTAATCTTCAATTCCACATATTAGATATCTTAATGTGTTTGTACCAAAAGAATAATTAAATAACAAAACAGTAAGTGAGCACTATATGATCATCACAAAAATAATGAAACTCATGGTGTGTCATCTTCAAACTCTTCTTCAGACTCATCTTCAATCTCATCTTCAGACTCATCTTCATACTCATTTTCAAACCCATCTTCATACTCATTTTCAGTCTCATCTTCAAACTCATCTGCAGACTCATCTTCCAATTCCTCTTCATACTCGACTTCAAGTTGTTGAGTAACAAATTCTTCCGAAGGCACATCAATAATTGTTTCTGCTACATCAGTCCTTGTTAAGAGAACTTCACCATTATCTTTTGGTATAGATGGTCCCATCAAATGTTCAAATGGCTCATTTTCATAACTTTGTGGGAGATTAGATTCAACTTGATCACTCATGTTAAACAAGTCTCTCAGAATAGTCTTCATAACATAATGTCTATCTTGATCATATGGAACTTGCACATAGAGGCATTGGTATACTTGAAATCCAAGCACAAAAGGCTCTTTCTGAGAGCATTTCTTGTTAAAATAGACATAAGCAAGGCCATAAGTATCATTTTTGAGAGCATTTCTTGTTAAAATAGACATAAGTAAGGCCATAAGTATCATTTTCAACCTCATACCAATCGCCCTTAAATAGAACAATCTTAAAATGGCCATAATAGTCTAACTCAACAATATCAACTATTCTACCATAATAAGTCAGATCTGCAGCAATCAAATTTTTATCCTTTGAGCTTGCAAAACTTGTAGTTGAGGCAACTAGTGTAACACCACTATTTTGTGTTTTACGCCGTGCATCACATTGCCTAACATGAAATCTATGTCCATTGATGAGATACCCAACATATCTTTTTGCAACATAATTTGGTCCTCCAGACAATTGTTTTATCAAATTAGGCACATCCTCTTGCAAAACACGAGTTTCAAACCATTGAGAGAAGTTTTGACAATGACTCTTGGCCTTGCTCCATTTAGATCTTCGTGGCTGATTATTTACCTCTTGCTCATGCTCTCTACACAACATGTACTTATTTTGTTAAAGTAATAAATAAAATAATTTAAAAATTAATTATACAAAAAGAATATTATATTCAAATTAAGGTACCTAATATATTCTTGAACCTCATCACAATTTCCCAATAAGTATGCATGCACCTGACTTAGTGACTTGTTATCTAAAATGAGTGGATCAGTTTTCTTTGCTCCTAAAGGAACACCTTTGTTAGGAAACAAACTCACAGTTTCTGCATCACTTGGGTCACATTTATCATTATTTCGGGCTCTTTTGTTATATCTGGTATGCACACCCCGATGTAGATATTTGGAGAATAAATTCATACAATCTATTCCCACTCGTGTCTCTGCTATGCAACCTTCTGGATAACGTCTGTTCCGAATGTATGATTTGAATGTACCCATTTTTTTTTCTGTGGAATACATCCATCGATTTTGAACTGGACCTCCTAATCTCACTTCATTCGCCAAATGAATAGGCAAATGAATCATTATATCAAAAAATGTAGGAGGAAAAATTCGCTCCAACTGATTTATTATTTCTATGATCTCCACTTCTAAGCAATCCAGTTCCTCCAATGTGATTACTTTTTGACACAATCGATGGAAGAAGGAACTAAGACGAATCAAAGGAATAGCCACATGATAAGGAAGAATGCTTTTAATTGGTATTGGAAGCAAGTAATGTAACATGAAATGAGCATCATGGGTTTTATAATAAGACAATTTTCTTTCATCCAATTGCACACACCTGGATATATTGGAGGCACTACCATCAGGTAGCTTGGCTGTCTTTAAAACTCCACAAAAAATTTATTCCTCTCCATTTGTCATTGAGAAACACACTTTTGCAAACTTTGTTCTCTTATTATCTTCTGTATCTTTTGGATGAAGGTTCTTTCTGATTCCCATATCTTTCAAATCATATCGGCCTTTTGCATGATCCTTTGTTTTGCCAGAAATATCCAAAAGAGTTCCAAGTATGCTATCAACTATGTTCTTCTCTATGTGCATTACATCAAGGTTGTGGCGTAACAAATTGTGCTTCCAATAAGGTAATTCAAAAAAGATTGACCTTTTTTTCCATGGGCCATCATTTGATCTCTTTCTCTTCTTTCCAAATATATTTTCAAAATCTTGTAAGCTATTAAACACATTAGTACCCTTTAATAAAGGTGGAGGAGGCCTAAATTCACTTTTTCCATTGAAAGATCTTTTGTTAGATCTCCATGGATGATCCATGGGTAGAAAAACACGATGATCCATATAGCACATTTTCCGACTATGTTTAAGATAGTGAGAATTAGTGCCATAGTTACAACAAGGGCAAGCAAACTTACCTTTTGTACTCCATCTAGATAACATAGCATATGCAGGAAAGCCATTTATTGTCCACATAACAGCTGCCCACATTTGAAAAGTTTGATTTCTTGAAGCATCATATGTTTCAACCCCAGAATCCCACAATTATTTTAATTCATCTATCAATGGTTGCAAGTAAATATCAATGTCATTTCCAGGTTATCGCGGCCCAAGTATAACTAAGGAAAGTATACAATAATCAGATTTCATGCACATCCAAGGCGGCAGATTATACACCATCAACATAAATGGCCATGTGCTATGTGATATACTCATGGTCCGAAATGGATTGAACCCATCACTTGACAAGCCAAGTCTCACATTGCGAGAATTTAATGCGAAATTTGGATGCAACCTACCAAAATCTTTCCATGCTAGACAATCAGTGGAATGCCTTAACTTTCCATCTTTAGAACGCTCCTCGTCATGCCACCTCAAAGAATCTGCCGTCTTTGAGCACATAAATAGCCTTTTGAGTCGAGGAATTAATGGTAAGTGTCTTAATGTCTTTGCTGAAACTTGATGTTGTTTTTTTGAAGGTTCAAGCTCACTATCAACTTTAGGAGATTTAATATATCGTGAAGCTCCACAAGTATGAAAAAATTCATCATCCTTATGATCATTCCTGAGCAACATGCAATCATTGGGACATGCATCAATTTTTTTATAATCAAGACCAAGATTCTTAATCATAGACTTGGTTTTATTGTAAGATGGAGGAATGTTCAACTCGGGCATCGCCTCTTTTAATAACTCTAAAAGAGAAGTAAATGATTCATTGCTCCATCCATGTAGACATTTCAATAAATATAAACAAAGTGTGAATGATAATTTAGAGAATCCTGTACAACCAGGATATAATTCTTGGCTTGCTTCGTCAACTAAGTTATAGAATTTCTTGGCATCTTTATTTGGACCATCATAAACTCCTTTAGCCTGTGCAACATCTCTAAATTGATCATTCAACAACCCATCAATATCATCACGCGAGTAATCCATATCATCGTCAATATTCAACTTGATATCCCCTTCCCCGTGATTTATCCATCTAGTATATCCTTTAACAAATCCATAGCATATTAGATGATCATACACTACATTCCTTCGAGTCCAGCGAATATTAGAACATTGCACATGGACACTGAATTTCCTCTCCTATTGGATCTCCATAAGAGTAAGCAAAATCTAGGAATGATTCAACACCATCAATATGCTCTTTGCTATACCTTGTTAAATTCATCCAATCCTTGGATGGGATATTTGAATTCCTAGACGATCAAGATATTAATATTTAATCTTTCAATAACAATCATTAAATCATTAACTACTTCACAAACACGTTTTAAAAGTCACGAGTAAGTTATCAGAATCATGTGTTATGAGATGATAAAAGTTTCTTACCTAGTCATGGATCTTGTGCTATGCCAAATCAAACCTTGAATCCTTCACAAATGTTTTTGAATGTTGATTATACTTCCAAGGAAAAATAAGTACAATTAATAGGATAGACACAATTAAGAAAGAAAGTAAATAAATGGAATTCAAATGAGTAAAAGTTAAAGTTTTGTGAGTGAATTCAAATACTCATCACCAAATTCGTTTTGCACGATTTACATAGGAAACTCATCAGTTATACACTTTAGTGAAATGAATGGTCAACACTTCAATTTCCTTAATTTTGTAGATCATGCTACTTTCCTTTATTTAATTTACTTCCAAGTGTTATCTAACCACATAAAATTAACAACCTTAGTCAAGTAGAAGTTTTAACAAAATAAAAAAAGGTTGACAATCAAACCATCCTAAGAATAGTACGAATAATAGGGAATTCAACATATTCAAGAAAAATGGAGCATAGTCCTATGAATGGTCAAGCTTTAGCTGACTTTCACCGTCTCTCTAACTCTAAGGAATTTAAATGAACTAATCAAGATTAAGAAATTCTATCTAGAAGCAGGTTCATGTTGTAATCAAGCTTTGCAAATTGCAGATTTGCAGTTTGCAGATTGTAGATTGCAGATTGCAAATTTATAGCAGATTGTAGATTTGCAGATTTATAGCAGATTTATAGCAGATTGCAGTTGCCATATCAAACTCTAAGTCCACTTCAGGCCAAAGAACAGGGGCAGCTGGAGTAATATGCAAAGATACTCTAATGCAGACATGTAAATCATGATAGCAATTGCACCAAACAAAGCATGGAAAAAGAGGAAACTCAACTCCAACAACACTAAGACACTCTACTGCAGACATGTAAGTCTCATAACTATGCTTCTAGTCAAGTTGGTAACACTAATTCTGAAACTCAGGTTGTAAATGAGTAAGTCAGCCAAAATGCTTCACAAAGCAATATGAGAAATTCTCAAGTGAAGCTCCTGTGATATTCAACCCATTTATACTTATTTAGTGATTAATGCTGCATACATATATCCATCATCCTAACCTTTTAACATAAATGTTTTAGCAAATACGAGTAGTAAAAATGTAAACAGAACTTAAGAGTAATCGAGTTCCATAAGAGGTTGTTTCATAATCAACAAAGTCTAAACTTCCAGGAGACACTTCGTAACTTATTTCTCCTTCAGCTTATCCTAACTGACATACACCCCATCTGTAAGAGTTACCCATTATCCTCTAGAATTAGTCGAGATACACACTAGCTAGCCCAGACTCCACAACTATCAAGGAAAAGACCCTTTGACATTTCCTCTAATAAAAGTACTCATACACAGATCCCTAATACCAAAACTAGAGCAAAATAGCATAATATAAATAAATTAAGACTCCCAAAAATCAACAAAAATCGTATCAACAAAACAAGAATATCAAAACTCTAAGCTAAAATTTAGACTTTCAAAGATACACAAGAATATCAAAACCTTAAAGCTAAAATTTAGACTTTCAAAGATAGAATTTCATACCTGATAAACCTTATTCTAACAACTCTAAAGCTTTAAGACGTGAGGCGTGTTCATTTGTGAAATTTGACGGAAAAGCTTTTTAACAAGGAATCTATGAGGAAAATCTTAAACAAGGAATCTGTGTATGAGTACGTACTTCAACCTTTTAACAGTTCTTCAGCTCTTCAATCTTCAACAAGGAATCTGTGATCAAGTTTGCCGGAAATCTGTGAGGAAAATCGTATTGTTCTTCAGTTCTTCAGGAAAGCCTATTGTTCTTCATTGAGAGAAACGGGTGAAAACAACTTTGACGATTTTTTTTTCTGATTTGGGAGAAAACAATGTTTTAATGTTTTATTATTTATGTTTTTGCCCAATAAAAATTGGAGGGAGAACAAGTTTTAGTGTTAAAAATGTTGGAGTATATATGCATAGATTCTTTGAGATTAAAAAATGATTAACGTCAATGAAGATGACTTAGCCAATTCATAAATATTCATCACTATAGAGCACTACAATTACCCCTATGTGATATCGATTTCCAATCCCCGAACCCTAGATTTCTTGTTAACTTTTGATTTTTTTGATACTTTTGGTTAATTGTAATAATTGATAATCAAAGCTTTATATTAAATTGGTTGAATTATCCACCCACTTGTTCTTACTATTGCAAATGAGATATTTTAAGTCCAAATTTCTTGAAAGAAATTCTCTACGATATACCATTCTCTACGGGTTTCGACCCCGACTCTTCATTGGGTTTTCTTATTGACTATGACTATTGTCCCTTTTAATTAGTTTTAATGATGACAATTAAGCATTTTCATAAATAAAACCATTGCAGGGGAGTGGTGGTTGAGAATTCTAATTGAGGAATTATATTTTAATTTTGTTTATTTGTAGTAGATTTGTTGTTTGGTGTTATTGTTGGCTGATTTATAGGTTTATGCACTGAGTGACCATGGAAGTTTATACGATAGTAACTATGAAGAAAATGAAAATATGGGTGATTTTAATGATATGCACATGGATGTTATTCAAACTACGAGAGAAATCCAGATACCTTATACATCCGGGAGGACTGTGTTTCACATAAGCGAAACAATCATACAATTTCTCTAGATGAAAGGAAATTTATAGGGCCTAGCTCATAAGGATCCCCATGAACACCTTAGGAATTTAATGGATGTATGTGGACCCTTTGTGTTCAAGAGTATCTTTCAAGAGTCTGTAAGGATAAGGTTATTCCCGTTCTCTTTAACGGGAGAGGCTACAAGATGGTTGGTACAATTGCCAAATGATTCTATCACTTCGTGGGAAGAGCTGAATTATGCCTTCTTGGAGACATTCTTTCCACCCTTGAAGATGGTTATACTTTGAACCCACATAAAAATTTTCAAATGTATTGGAGGTAAACCTCTACACGAAACATGGTTGAGGTTTAAGAAGCTGCTTTTGCAATGTCCAACGCATGGCCTTCCAGACAATTTACTAGTGCAATACTTCTATTGCATCCTCGATTCAATGAACAAAGGTGTGGTTGATTATTTAGTTCAAGGTGGGTTAATAAAACAATTGTACGATGTGGATGCTTTGTGCTAGATGATATGATTAAGGTCAATTGAGCATGGCACACTAGAGAGGACCAAGTGCCTCATCTAAAATTGGGTTTAAGCAAAGAATAGGTTAAGAAGGACCATGAAAGAGATGAAAACATGGACAAAATTATGACCCAGATCGATTAATTGTCTAAATATGCCACGGGATGTGGATCCAAGTCTGTAAATACGGTTGGAACAAACAATGGGCAGTGCTCGGATGATGCCAAATTTGAGACATCATATAATAAAGAAGCTCAATACTTAGGAAATCAAATGGGGGAGGGGTTTTTCATAACAATTATGAACGACAAAGTGGGAACCAAAGTTGGAACGAGGATAAAATGGCAGTTGAAAAGAATGGCGAGTTGGAGATGCGAGAGATAGGCAGATGGAAAAAGATAGATACGTGCCTCCTCATGATCGTCTATGCCCAAAAGGACTAGCTGGGATAGAAGGGATATGGACTAAAGATATGCTTGCAAGGATTTACAACAAGGTTGAAGGGTCTGATAAAGTATTAAAGGAATTGAAAAATGACATCTCCACTTTATCCTAGACGGTAACTTCTCATTAAGTTTCTATTAAGCAACTCGAGACCCAATTGGGCCAAATTTCCACTCATCTAAATCAAATGCAAAAGGGAACATTTCGTAGTGTCATCATCCTAAACCCCAAGAATGATTGTTGAGATTGAGAACTATGTCATATAAAGATGTAAAATAAAGAATGTATTTGGAGGCTGATGAGTGCACAATTTGGACTAATTTAGGACTATATTTTGATTGAATTAGTGTCCTCTAATGCATATTTTGTCTCAATATATGATATAAATCCTTAAGTTTCAGGTATTTGACCTGAGAGACAAAGTATGGACGCTATCGAGCAAAATGGAACAGAGCGGCTGAAAGAAAGAAGAAAAGACGTCCTGAAGATCGCCTAATCCATTAGGCGAGTCGCCGAAAGGCCTCACATCTTGCCTAATGTTACAATTTTGCTGAGTCCTGAAGATAGAGATCAAGTCTGCGAGAAAAGGGAGCAGATGATGCATCGCCGAGTAGTTCCATGAAACAGTTCTATATCGCCCAATGATTCAAAACGCGAAGATGCTGAAGGCAAAAGCTAAAAGGCGATGAACCAGACCAAAGGGCAAATCGCCGAGTGCATTGGCGATCCTGACTAAGTGCACTGAGTGATCCTTCGCAGCACAAATTTTTTGAAAGCTATAACTACTTATTTAATTCTGTAGCTTAGTATCAAATTTTTGTAGAGAATTTTGAGACTTAGAATATTTCCAGTTTTTAGTTCTTACAGTTTTTTGGGAGACATTGTTTTGGAGCTTGAAGATTTGAAGACTTCCAACTCCAAGAAATTGGAAGTGAGTGTTGGAGATTCTGCATTCTAGAATCGTTTGAAGTGAATATAAATCATACCCAGTTGATGTTCATTCGATTTGATATCATTTTCTCCCCTTTTTCTATGTCTAGCTAAAACCCCATTC